CTTCTCCCCTCCCCAGACTGTTGCTCTTTCCTTCATGGACCAAAATGGCTCCCAACAACATCCATTATTCAGAATCACATCTCTTCACACCCCGTTAGTCAAGAACCCAGTTACATGGCCATAAAGTTACAAGGGCACCTGGTAAATGTATGTATAGAAGAGTGGGTATGTGTCCACAATATTGTATTACTATATAAGAAAAGAGAATGGATATTGAGGGACAACTACCAGGTGCTTCCTGGTAGTTGTCCCTGGTAGTTGTGATTATTACTGTTATTATTATTTGGCTCTCCTTACCCCACCCTCCTCCCATTGTCTGATGCCCACAGGTTCATAAACCGGTTCCGCCAGGCTCAGCCCACAAGCCGAGAGGAACGCCAGCCTGCAGGCCCAACCCCAGCTGACTTTTGGTGGTTGCGGCCTGAATCTCCAGACCCTAGTAGTCGACTTGCAGCAGGTACTTGCTTCAGTCCCATCCACTCCTGGCCCAAAACGTTTTCTTTCTTTCTTTTTTTAAAAATTTATCTTTATTGTTGAAAGTATTACAAATGTCTTTTTTCCCTCCATCGACCCCCTCCACTCAACTCCTGTCCCCTCACCAGGCCTTTCCCTCACTATTGCCTGTCAATGGGCTATGCATATGTGCATATAAATTCATTGTTTAATCTCTTCCCCCCACTCCCTTCTCTCTGAAATACGTTAGTCTGTTGCATGCTTCAAGGTCTCTGGATCATTTTTGTTCATCAGTTTATTTTGTTCATTAGATTCCACATGTAAGTGAGATCATGTGGTACTTGTCTTTCTCTGACTGGTTTATTTCGCTTAGCATAGTACTCTCCAGGTCCTTCCATGCTGTTCCAGAATCTCTCTTGTACAGTGCTCTCAGCAGCCACTCCTCCTGGCCCTCCTAAATCAATTGGGGTTTCTCAGCAGGAGCCAATAAACCAGAAGGAAGACTCACCACGGAAGTCCCGACTCTTGCCAAGGTGGCCAGTGCATCACAGGCTAAGGCTATGGCCCCCCTTCAGGAAATAAAGCAGGTGACATCCCATTTACTCCCCCCATGTTACCTGAACTGACAGCACCAGCCCTGGGATAGAATTAGAGTCAGTCCACAATTCAAGGAAGCATAAACAAACAAACAAAAAAAGGATTGGTTTGCTAATGCAATTAAAAAGTCCAAAAGTAGCTTCTTTCAGGCATGGCTGGATCCAGGTGTTTGAACACTATTGGGAAGAACTTGACTGGTTTGGCTTTCCGTTCTTCTTTGTTGGGCTCAGTCTCAGGCAGGCTTTCCTCTCAAAGTAGCTAAGATGGCCTCAGTAGTTCTAGCCTTTTAACTTATTTAATCCACAGGAAAGAGGAGCCTTTTCCGATAGCTCCATCCAAAGCCCCTGTTACTCTCATCAGCTCACAACCACTGTGAACCAGAGGACAGAATGTTGTGATTAGCCAGGCCTGGTCAGGAAGGCAGGGTCAACACTTCTCCTACAGCAGTAATTTCATTGAGGGGTGTGATCCACACAGGAAAACTGGGTCACTCTTCCCTGAAGAGGAAGAGCAGATTCTAAGCCAGCGTGTGAGGGTACCAGGTGGAGTGCAGATGTGCACTCCAGGCCCTCTGTCTGAGCAGCCTTTGGAATCTGGGCTGGCCTCTGACCATCTCACCTCACAGAGCCTCAGCACATGGAACTCATCTCTGCTGGACCTGGAGATGCTGAGCCTGCAAAGCAGAGCTGCCAGGCTGCTGAAACACAGGTGCTTTCCCTGCCCCCATCATCCTCTCCACTCCTTCAACTCTAGGCCCCACCCATTGCCTCTGAGACCCCTCTTGCCTCACTTCTGTATTCTTCCTACAGCAAGGCCTCCGTCTCCTCCTCCTGCAGCCCCAGCAATTCCAGCAATTCCTTATTCCCTGTCAGCTCTGATGGTCTTTCTCCTTCCTCTGTGGCCTTCACCCCTGACTCCAGCAAGGGCTCTGACCCCAAGGCACATGGTGAGTTCTGGAGAGCAAGGATTGAGGGCAGCCAGTGTGAGTCCCACAAATGCCACTAATCAGCTATGTGACCTTGGGCCTCTCTGTGCCTTTCTTGTTTCCCCAACTTTAAAATGGGGATAATAATTGTACTCTTCTACTGTGGGTGTGGTGAAGATTAAATTAGTTGATGAATATGGAGTACTTAGCACCAGTCAGTTAATAGTAGCTATCATTAGTAGGACAGGTTCTCTCTCTGTATCCTGTTTGCCTCTCTAAACACAAAGCTCCAAAATCAGAAGACTTCTTGCAAATTTGGCGCTACATTTGATTTGACAGCAAAATCTGACCTCAACAATGAGAAGGATATTTATTATCTATCTATCTGTCTATCTATCATTTAGGACAACTTCATACTTTTTGCTATGGATATATTACATTGAAACATATGAAATTTTTGCCTTTGTAAGTAAAAAATGGTTAAATATTGCCAATTGCATGTTGTTCAACCAAATACCAATGTGTTAGAGTCTGGTGTACTGCATCAGACCCCTGGTTACACTGTATATACCATACAACTTTGCTAAAACATGCAAGATTTCAGAAATGAGATTAAGGACCAGGGTTACTGTTGTTGCCATCATTGTGGTTACTTTTAGTCTGTGCCCAGGTCCTGGGATGCAGCGGAGCACAGGACAGGTGCTCTGTATATATCATGGGGCTCCATGAGTGGGGACAGGCAAGCACAAATAACCAGAGAGGTTTTCATGCATGTGTGTGATCCTGCTCAAACTCACCTGTCTGATTCTTCCTTCCATCTAAGTTCCACCTTTTGTTCACCTTTCCTTTCTGAACCTCAATTTTCTCTTCTTTATAATGGGAATAAAACTAGTACCTATTTCATGATTTATTTTTTGCAGATCAAATTCATTCATTCATTCATCTAACAAAAATTAAATTTCTGCTGTGTATGAGGCCCTGAGAGCAGGATTAGCGATTCCACAGTGAACCAACCATAAATACTTTTATCCTCAGGGTTCTCACAGCATAGTGAGTGTAGAATAGAGTAGCTACATAACCCCACAAACAAATGTGAAATGTAAGCAGAAACGAGGGCTATTCAAGAGAGGACTGTGATGCTGAGAAGTCAGAGAAGGCCTTCCTAGAAGAGATGCTATCTAGGTGGAGACCTGAATGATGAAGGTGGGGACAAGCGCCTTCTAACATGTTCAGAGGACCTGAAGCGTGGTGCAGACAATGAACTAGAAAAGGCAAGAGCCAGTGGTGAGAGTAGTATGTGATAAGGAGGGACAGATTGGCAGAGGTCAGATTACATTGGGCCATGTAGGCTTGGGGAGGCATTTGGTCATTATCTTAGTGCCAGGGAGCCACGAGAGGGTTCTGAGGAGGGAGGGTACATGATTTTCCTCGAGTGTTAACAAACTCCCCCTGGCTGCTCTTGGTACCCAGTGAGAGATGCTGGTAGTTTGGCTTGGGCCAGAGCTTGAAGGGCAGAGTAGAGGGCAGTGGCCAGGTTTGGAAGTAGAATCACAGGATTCTCTCCACACATCTTTTTGGGGGATATAAAGAGTTGGGGAGGAGAGAGAGGTCTGAGATGATGCCCCCCCCCCCCCCCCCCCCCCCCCGTAGCATCAGATGGTCAGGCTTCTGAGAGACAATGGTAGCCCTACTGATCATTGCTGTTGAAATGATGCTCTGAGTGGCCCTGTCCTGAGTCACTGTTGTACTGAGCCAGAACAGTGCCTGGCTCAATAGTAAGAGCTAAATATTTGTTAATGAAGGAAGAATTGAATGATGACAAGTTGGGAAGTCCATGAGTCCTCTCTCCTCTGACTCTGCCCTTCTTCACTTCCCACTCTAGAGAGGAGTTGGGACATTACCTGGAGAGCATGTCTGAATATTGGTACAGTCGAATGTTGTGTGCACTGGCCGTCATCAGGTTGCTCATCCCCAGAACCTCCTGTCTTACCCTTCTTCCCTCTACTTATCCTACAGCAACTCCCGCACCAGCCCCCATCCCTGCGCCAGCCTTGGTCTCCTCCCAGGCACCCCTGCGGCCAGAGGATGATATTCTGTACCAGTGGCGACAGCGGCGGAAGCTTGAACAAGCTCAAGGAGGTCAGGGTGACGGAACCTGGGTGCTGCCAGGGACCTCTGCCCTCACTACTCCGGTGAGATGGGGGAGGGAGGCACCTGAGGGGGATCCTAAGGGTAGTTGGAGGGAGGGAGGCCGGAGGCCTGAGTGGAACTGAGGACACCCTACCCTTTCTCTCCCCCTCAGGTCCCTGTCCCCGTCTGTCTGCATACCTCGCCTGCCCCTGCGGAGACCCTTAGTTCCCTGGGAACACAGCCTAACTGCATCCCACTTTGGGGCAGTGTGGCCGGGCCTGCTCCCCAGGAAGCCTATGTGGAGAGGCCTCCTATTCCCCCAGGGTTCTCTCCACACATCTTTCGGGGCCCCTACCCCCAAGGGTTTTTCTGGGCCCCACAGACCGGTTCCTGGGTATCTTTTGGGGGCGTCCCCCACACGCCCTGTGCCTCTACTCCTGGGCCCCCTATCACTCCCCAGGGCCCGCCCACCCCTGCGCCATGTAGCTCCGCCCAGCTCGAGAGGCAGGACCCCAAACCTCGGAAGGGTAGAGCCTGGCGCCCAGAATCTGCTGGGCGAGTCATGGTGGCTGACCAGGAGCCCAGCCCGCAGCTCCGCGGCCCTCTGGGCCAGGTAGTGACCGCTCGGCTCTTCCCCGACAGCCTGGAGGACACGCCCCCTCGACCCAAGGGCCTGCCTCCACCTCTGGCTGAATCTCAGAAAATGAAGACCGCACAACCCAAAACTAAGGTTATGCCCCGGTGCTCAGAAGTTACCTCCCCTCCATTGGATTCACGGTTTCCTCAGGCGACCCCACCTGGTCGGCCTCAGGCTGAGTCTCGAGATGCCAAAGCCACGCCTCCCGCGGAGGAGTGGGTGCTTTGCAAGGAAGTCAGGAATCCTCAGCCCAAGGCCCCGCCCCCTCCAGCTGAAGAGGCTTCCACCGCGGTTGAGGCCCCGCCCCCTTTGGTCGAGGCGGGGTCTCTAGAGGCTGCGGTCACCTCCTCGCCCGCTGCTGACCACGCCCCCCCAGAGGACCTGCTCTCCCAGGCCGCGAGGCTTCTGCAAGCTGCTGAAGGTGAGCTGATGCGTGTGGCCGCTGGGATCTGCTGTCGAGCGTGCTATGAGTCCAGCCCCCTGGACCTCGCTCTTTTTCCTCCAGATTCCGACAGCAGCGAGTTCCAGGAGGACCCTGTGCTGCAGGTGCTAAGGGTTCAGAGGGCCGAGCTGCGGCGGCAGAAAAGGTGACTATCTCCAGGCTTTATCTTCTGAGATTCCCGTCAAGTGTCCACCTCTCTTGAACCCCTTTCCCAGAACTATCCAGAGCCCCAGACCCCAATCCTGAGCACATACCTCAGCCTCTACTACCTGGCTTTTTTCCAGGAAAGTGGACGCCCAATTATCCCTCCTACTGGGTCACACTGAAGACTCAGGGTCTTGGTCTCCTCCAGCCAGGTCGACCCCCAGGTCCCCAAGGATGCGGCTGAGGAGGGAAGGGGCCTCACTTGAGGCCAGAAGACTTTGAATTGTAGAAATTTCGTTTTTCCCAATGAAATGCTCTTTTCGGGTTACAGGTTGTCTCTGAGAAAAGAGTCTGGAAAGGCCAAGAGTCATGCTAATTTAGGGAAATAGCCCCCCCCCCCCTCCTGCCCACCCCTACCCTAGTTACTGACGGTGGTACAGAATCTCTTCTAGTTTTATCCTCTTTGAGGGCAAGGCAGGGGAGGGGTTCCAGGCAAAGCTTCAGGCAGGACTGGGACTCATCTTAACTCGGGAGTGGATCCTCCTGTCTCAGATGAGACAGAAGGAACTTCCCTCTTGGTATGAAGCTATCAGAGTGTTGGACAATGGTTAGTCCTCAGTCCACATCCTGCTTGAACCAGCACAGTATTTGGTTCATTGATCCCACCCTCCTTGAAGCTTTTCCTTCCCCTCCCTCTAGCATCACTAACATGTCACTTTGGTGTGTCCCAGGGCTCTGGTCTTAACTTCTCTATCTAAACTCATTCCCATGTGCTATTGTAGCTTCCTGGCTCTACATCCTATCTCTATTCTGATAGTCCCTAAATTTATATCTTCAGTCTAGACCTGGCCACTAAACCTCAGGCTTCTATATCCTGCTACCTGCTCATCCTCACTCAGAGGTCTAAGAGATGTGCCGTACTGCACAGGTCTTAAACTGAGCTCCCAATCTTCCCCTAAACCTGCTCCTCCCAAACTTTCCTCAGCTTTGTCCTTCCGCTCAGTCCAAAAGCCTCATAGTCGTCCTTGACTCCTCTCTTTTCCTCATACCCACAGTCAGTTGACCAGCAAGTCCTGTCAGGTCTACCTTTAAAATCTATCCAGAATTTAACCCCTTCTTCCCCTTCCATGGCCCTCACCTTAGTCTAAGCTATCATTATCTGTTTGGACTATTAAAAACCTGTTTGTTTTGTCAGCAAGTTCTTTGAAACATTTCTTATAAAAAAGTAGAATCTAGATTTCTTCTCCTTGAAACTGGATAGAACTTTTTGACCGCCTCCATAAACAGAATGCAGAGAAAGTGATACTGCTTTAAATTTCTAAACTGGATTAGAAAAGATGATATAATTTCCATGTGGCTCCTCTCGCTCTCTCTTTCTTGCTCTCTCGAGCCCCGGGCTACCGTATAAAGAGTCCAGTTACCATGTTGGGTAGGGATTTGTGTTACACAGGTGTGTGCACTTGTCAACATACAGTGAAATTTTTGAATTTCATTGTATGTAAAGTTTACCTCAAGAAAAAGAAATATTGAACTCTAGTTAAAGATATGCATGCTGAATTATTTAGGGGACAGCATACCAATGTCTAATTTATTTTGAAATACATTAAAAATTAGATTAATGGCCCTAACCAGTCTGGCTCAGTGGATAGAGCATTGGCCTGCGGACTGAAGGGTCCCAGGTTCGATTCCGGTCAAGGGCATGTACCTTGGTTGCGGGCACATCCCCAGTAGGAGGTGTGCAGGAGGCAGCTGATCGATGTTTCTCTGTCATCCATGTTTCTGACTCTCTATCCCTCTCCCTTTCTCTCTGTAAAAAAATCAATAAAATATATTTTAAACAATTTAGATTAATGGATGAATAGAGTAATAGGTGGATGTGAATAAAGCAAACAGTAAAATGTTAATGGTAAGATCTAAGTGGTGGATATATTGTAAATTATTCAACTGTGCTGTATGTTAGAAACTTCATAATAGAACGTTGGAGAATATATAATCAGGATTATTTTGATATCTATTTTAAAATGGGAGGATGGAATAGATTTCTGTAAAAAGTTTCTGTATATCACAGACATGGTAAATATTTGTTTACAGCCTTTTTGAACAAACCATACATTTAAATTAAACCAACAGGAAGGAAATATATGTTTAGATATAAAAAAATAAAAAATATTTATAGTAGAAGAACCTGATCTAGTTGGAGAGTGAGTAAAGCCTAGAAGGATTCCTGAGAAGTTAGATTTAAGCTGTGACAGGTAGACATTAACTAGTTGACAGAGGGCTATTTTAATTACTATTGCTGGGTTACAAATCACCCCCAAAATTTAGTGGCATAAAACAATCTGGCACCAGGGCTCACATGATGAGCTGGAACTATAGACTATAGTAACTACACATGATTTCCATGTGGCTTGGGCTTCCTCAGAACATGACTACCTCAGCATAACCACGTTTCTCACATGCCTCAGCACATCTAGAGCTAGTCATTCCAGTAGACAAGGAGGAAGCTGCATTGCCTCTTACTACCTAACCTTGGAAGTCACATTATCTCTCTATTTTTATAATTTTTTAAAATCATTACCCAAGGAGTAAGAATTCCTACCCCCCCCCCCCCCGCATTAATTTTAGAGAGAGTGAAGGGAGGGTGTAGAGGGGGAGAGAGAGAAACATCCATGTGACAGACACATTGATTGGTTGCCTCCCACACGCACACAGACTGGGGGTGGGGATGGGACCTGCAATCCAGGTACGTGCCCTTGACCAGGAATTGAACCTGTGACCCTCGGGTAAGTGGGCCGATGCTCCAGGGGTCCTCAAACTACGGCCCGCGGGCCACATGCAAATACAAATATTGTATTTGTTCCCGTTTTGTTTTTTTACTTCAAAATAAGATATGTGCAGTGTGCATAGGAATTTGTTCATAGTTTTTTTTAAACTATAGTCCGGCCCTCCAACGGTCTGAGGGACAGTGAACTGGCCCCCTGTTTAAAAAGTTTGAGGACCCCTGCTCTAACCACTTAGCATTGCTGGCCAGAGTGGAAGTCACATTCGCTATTAGTTGAAGTTGTCACAAATCTGCCCAGATTCAAAGGGGAGGGGATGTACTTTCTACCTTTTCATGAGGGAAGTGTCAAAGGATTTGCAACCACCACAGAGGTTGAGTGGGAAAAGAGGATTACTCCAGGTAGAGGGAACATCACATGGGAGGTATCTGTGATAGGAGTGAGGTCTGCAAATTTAATAAATTGAAGTGAGTAACTGTAAATTGACCCTTCCTCCAGTACTCCCTCCCCCCAATCCCTGCTTAATTGAAAAAAATTTTTTTATTGATTTCAGAGAGGAAGAGAGAGGGAAAGAGAGATAGAAACATCAATAATAAGAGCGAATCATTGATCGGCTGCCTTGTGTACGCCCCATACTGGGAATCACAACCCGGGCATGTGCCCTGGCCAGGAATTAAACCATGACCACTGAGCCACACTAGCTGGGTCCTGCTTACTTTTTTTTTTTTTTTTATTGAAAAAAGTTTGGATTTTATTTTTATTTTTTGGTGTGAAAGGAAAGAGGTTTTATTCAGGAGTCAGTCACACAACCTGGGAGAATGGCAGACTCCCGTCTCAAAGACCAATCAAGTAGTTTGGATTGACACTTTTGAAAGAAAATAAAACTAGCCCAGCCGGTGTGGCTCAGTGGTTGAGCTTCGACCCATGAACCAGGAGGTCA